ATGTTATATGCTTTTATAATTTCCGCTCTCACTCATCTCTTCTCTAAACAGCTCGGCCATATAAAACTGAATTGCCTGACGCTTAAAGTAACCCCATGGTCTACTCCCCCACATGCTCCAGTGAATGCTACTACCATTGCTCCAGGGGCAGGACTGGAGCAGGAGGAAATCCTAGCAAACTATATTAGGATTAACAACGAGGAGCACTTTAGAGACTAACAAATTTATTTGGGCATAAGCTTTCATGGGCTTTTGTGGGCTCTAACCCACTTCATCAGATGCATGAAGTGAAAAATACAGTAGGTATGTATAAATATACAGCACATTAAAAGATGGGAGTTGCCTTGCGAAGTCGGGGGGGGGGGTCAGTGCTAACGAGGCCAATTCATTCAGGGTGGATGTGGCCCATTCCCAACAGTTGACAAGAAGGTGTGAGTATCAGAGGGAAAATTACCATCCTAGCCACTATGGATATAGAAGCTCTCTACACCAACATTCCACACAGAGATGGACAACAAGCCATCAGGAACAATATCCCTGATAATATCATGGCAGACCTGGTGGCTGAGCTTTGTGACTTTGTCCTCACCCACTATTTCAGATTTGGGGATGATTTATACCTTCAAGTCAGTGGCACTGCTATGGGTACCCACATGGCCCCACAGTATGCCAACATTTTTATGGCTGACTTAGAACAGTGCTTCCTCAGCTCTCATCCCCTAGCACCCTTACTCTACTTGCTCTACTCTACATTGATGACATCTTCATCATCTGGACCCATGGGAAGGAGGCTCTTGAGGAATTCCACCAGGATTTCAACAATTTCCACCCCACCATCAACCTCAGCCTGGACCTGTCCACACAAGAGATTCACTTCCTGGACACTACAGTGCAAATAAGCGATGGTCACATAAACACCACCCTATACCGGAAACCTACTGTCCACTATACTTACCTACAGGCCTCCAGCTTTCATCCAGACCACATGCCACGATCCACTCTCTACAGCCAAGCCCTAAAATACAACTGCATTTGCTCCAATCCCTCAGACAGAGACAAACACCTACAGGATCTCTATCAAGCATTCTTAAAACTACAATACCCACAAGGGGAAGTGAAGAAATAGATTGACAGAGCCAGAAGGGTACCCAGAAGTCACGTACTACAGGACAGGCCCAACAAAGAAAGTAACAGAATGCCACTAGCCATCACCTACAGCCCCCAACTAAAACCTCTCCAACACATCATCAAGGATCTACAACCTATCCTATCACTCTCACAGACCTTGGGAAGCAGGCCAGTCCTCGCTTACAGACAGCCTCCCAACCTGAAGCAAATACTCACCAGCAACTACACACCACACAACAGAAACACTAACCCAGGAACCAATCCCTGCAACAAACCCCGTTGCCATCTCTGTCCGCATATCTATTCAAGGAAAACCATCATAGGACCTAACCACATCAGCCACACCATCAGGGGCTCGTTCACCTGCACATCTACCAATGTGATATATGCCATCATGTGCCAGCAATGCCCCTCTGCCATGTACATTGACCAAACCGGACAGTCTCTATGCAAAAGAATAAATGAACATAAATCAGACATCAAGAATTGTAACATTCAAAAACCAGTAGAAGAGCACTTCAATCTCCCTGGACACTCAATAACAGACTTAAAAGTGGCCATTCTTCAACAAAAAACCTTCAAAAACAGACTTCAATGAGAAACTCTAGAACTGGAATTAATTTGCAAACTTGACACCATCAAATTAGGCCTGAATAAAGACTGGGAGCGGCTGGGTCCTTACAAAAATAAATTTTTCCTCTGTTGATATTCACCACTTATTGTCAACTGTTGGGAATGGGCCATGTCCACCCTGATTGAATTGGCCTCCTTAGCACTGACCCCCCACTTGGTAAGGCAACTCCCATCTTTTCATGTGCTGTATATTTATACCTGCCTACTGTATTTTTCACTCCATGCATCTGAGGAAGTGGGTTATAGCCCACGAAAGCTTATGACCAAATAAATTTGTTAGTCTCTAAGGTGCCAGAAGGACTCCTCATTGTTTTTGCTATACAGACTAACACGGCTACCCCTCTGAAACCTATATTAGGATTGAGTCTTGGGAGTGTAGTGAAGCATTTATCGAAAATGCTAAGGTAAATGGCATAGACTGTAAGGGCTGGACTCTGGAGGGACATAGCATCCCATGTCGTTTTGGTCAAGAAAAGTTTGATAAAGGAGGATGACAGACTTCTGGTAAAAGTGTAATTGGCTTTGGCTGAATTCCCTATAACTGTACCATTGGCCAAGGTCTACCCTGAATGCAAGAATTTTAAAGGAGATGTTAATATTGGAAATCTAGTTTCCCACTGATGTTTTAATTAGTAGTGATATTTTAGCCATGTCTAAGCAGGTTAATATCATGACTCGCATTGCTTTGCCAGAGTCTGTTCTTAGCATAAATGAGACTCACAAGGAATTTGTGGGGGCATAACATGCTGATCCTTCCCTGGACAAGGAGAGGGATAAGGCTCAGAATAATACCCCATCTGTGAAAGAAAAGGGCTGATATTTTTCTAGAAAGAGGCTTGTTGTACAAGGAGGCTCCCATAGGGAAAAATTGATGCCGTACTGAGGTTTACAAGTGGGTACTGGTGCTTGTTGAGCCTAGGATAGAGTTGCTGAAGCTAGCTCATGATTGTCCCTTTGCTGGACACTTAGGAGTGGAGACAACCTTGTGATAGGCTAAAACAGAATTTCTATTGAACTCACATTTTTGAGATGGTGAAAGATTACTGCAAGATTTTTGTTTTATGTCAAAAGAGTTAGAGGTTAAAGGGACCCTGTAAGACATCTGACCTGACCTTTGCCTATCATTAAGGTGGTGTTTGCCAGAGTATTTGTAGATATTATGGGACCCCTACCCAGACCTTCCAGAAATGGGAAAATATAAACTGATCGTTGTGGATTCTGCCAGCAGGTACCTGTAGCAGAGCGATAACTCACCGGTGCGGCACCTCCTGCTGGTTGTCTGGGAATTAGCTCTTTTCCAGTTTACGGAGCACCCTCTGCAGGCCAGTGTCTCACCTGCCGCTGGCCCCCTCGTCCCTCCCAGACCCTGGTGCCCCTTTACCTTGGAGTGCTGCCCCCTGGCAGTGCCCCCACACTCTGGGTCTCCCTTCCCAGGGGAACCCCCAACCCTCTATCCCCACCTTGCCTCAGTGGCTACTGCCAGTTATCATCTAGCCCCTACTCACTGGGGCAGACTGCAGTCTGTAAACCAGTCATCATTCACAAGGGGGTAGGACCTGCTGCCTCTGCCTATTCCCAGGCTGCCCCTCTGCAGCCCCAGTACCTTTATGGGCCTTTACCAAGGCCTGCAGCCTGGGTGTTTACCAGGCTGGAGCGCCTCAGCTTCCTGTGCCCTTCCCCAGCACTGCTCCACCTCAAGTACCCTTCTCTCCTTCTCTTTCAAGAACTAAAGAGAGACTGGTTTAGCTCCTGTCTCACAGCCCTTCATAGGGCCAGCTGTGGCCTGACTGGGGCGTGGCCCAAGATGTGGCTTCCCCAATCAGCCTAGCCATTTTCTCTCAGCCCCAGGCCTCTCCAAGGGCTGGTTTTTAACCCCTTCTGAGCTGGTTTTGTAATGACCCAACCACTCCCAGTCTTTATTCAGGCCTAATCTGATGGTGTCCAGTTTGCAAATTACAGACTCCAACGTGAAACTGCAGAACTGGAATTAATCTGTAAACTGGACACCATCAGATTAGGCCTGAATAAAGACTGGGAGTGGTTGGGTCATTACAAAACCTAAACCTAATTTCTCTAATAGTAATTTCCCCTTACTGTTACTTACACCTTTTTGTCAGCTGTCTGAAATGGGCCACTCTCATTACCACTTCAACAGTTATTTTTCCTCCCTTGGTATCCTGCTGTCAATTGAATTGTCTCAATAGACTTACCTCACACTTGGTAAGGCAATTCACATCTTTTCATGTATTTATACCTGCTCCTGTATTTTCCACCCCATGCATCTGATGAAGTGGGTTCTAGCCCATGAAAGCTTATGCCCAAATAAATTGTTAGTCTCTAAGGTACCACAAGGACTCCTCGTTGTTTTTGCTGATACAGACTAACACGGCTATCACTCTGAAACCTGTCACAGAGCTCTTCTGTTTCCTGAAACCTGTGTGAACCCCTTATGCTTAAGGATCAATTCCACCAGGTATTTAGCTTGGACAATCTGCTTATCTTCTCCAGATCTGAGGAAAAGCTCTGTGAATCTCGAAAGCTTGTGCTTCCCACCAACATAAGTTGATCCAATAAAAGATACTACCTCACCTACCTTGTCTCTGTTATATATTCATCACTACTTTATTCCAGTCTGCAGTCAGATATATGTAAGATCCATATGCACCTGTTATAGAGACTTTCTATTTGCCAAAGTGAAAACAAGTATGATACACAATTAATTTAGACATTAAACTAAATATCACTAATATAATGTTGTCTGCATATAACTTGACTACAGCAGTCCCAATAGCCACACCTCAACAAAACAGAATTTATGAAAGAAACCTCCCAGTATTAGACTTGTTCCAGATCTTTGACGATCGTCTGCTCTGAAGTTAAGGTCTGATGTAAAGAAAATCTTAAAAACTTGTTCAAAATGGTTGATATTTACTAACAAAATTAAAGCTGATTAAATGGTTTTTTAATCATAAATATAATTTAGGCGATTTCTTTCCTTCAGAAAAGAAAAAGGGAAACTATTTGGAAGATTAGTATATTAGGTCACGGACTAATGATTAAACAGTGTCCATGACAAGAGGAAAGTTAAGTTTAGTCAAGAATGATTAAATATAAAGAAAAAGAATAGCTAGTAGCTAGCTGACTTTATATATTTATGTCACAAGGTGCCGCTGCTGACTAAAAATACGTTTTCATAGAAAAGGAAAAATACAGCTCCTCCCCCCGTCCCCATACTAAAATCTGCGGCAAATCAGAGATTCACCAGTATTGCCTGACATTGGCCTTGAATGAAACCTCTACATAGACGTGGCCCGATACATTGAAGCATACTTAATATCTGGGAAAAACAGGGATTTTACTGGATAAGCGACACAGACCCGCGACTGCGATGGCTCTTCTCCGGCGAGACTCCCTGGTAACCGGGCAGCTGCTGCGGCTGGTTCTGCTACACACGGCCTGGGAGGTGGGCAGCGGCCAGGTCCGTTATTCCCTGCCGGAGGAATCCAAACACGGCACCTTTGTGGGCCGCCTGGCCCAGGACCTGGGGCTGGAGGTGTCGGAGCTGGTGTCTCGGGTGTTCCGGATGGTGTCCAAAGGCAGGGGAGACTATTTTGAGGTAAATTTTCAGAGCGGCGTTTTGTTTGTTAATTCGCCAGTAGACAGGGAAGAGGTGTGCGGCCAGAGCCCCCTGTGCGCCATTGACCTGGAGGTGATAGTGGACAAACCCCTGAGGATATTTCACGTGGAAGTGGAGATACAGGATATAAATGACAATGCTCCTGTGTTCCCTGTAAGTAAAGAAAATCTGTTTATTTTAGAATCGAGATTCTCCGACTCACGCTTCCCACTAGAGGGCGCGTCTGACGCAGATATTGGCACAAACTCTCTGCTGACCTATACACTCAGTCCAAGTGAACATTTTACTGTAGACATGCGAACGAATGATGAAAAAAGTAAATCGTTAGTCCTTGTATTAAGTAAACCACTGGACAGAGAGGAAACCCCGGAGCATAGTTTATTACTCACTGCCACAGACAGGGGCAAACCGGAGCTGACGGGCACAGTTCAGCTGGAGATCACTGTGCTGGATGTGAATGACAACGCGCCTGTATTTAATCAGTCACTTTATAAGGTCCAGTTACCAGAAAATGCACCAAATGGATCACTAGTAATTAAACTCAACGCCACAGATTTGGATGAGGGAATCAATAAGGATATTATATATTCAGTTCGCAGTGTCACTCCGCTCAGTGAAAGCTCCATGTTTAGCATAGATTCAAACAGTGGTGAGCTGAGCCTGAATGGAAAATTGGACTTCGAAGACACAAGTTTACACGACATTCAAATCGAGGCTACGGATAAAAATCCGCATCCCTTAGCTGGGCACTGCAATGTTTTGGTGGAAGTGTTAGACGTGAACGACAACGCCCCTGAGCTGGCCGTGACTTCCCTTTCCCTGCCGGTGCCGGAGGACGCTCCCCCGGGGACAGTGGTGGCTCTTATTAGCGTCTCCGACCGGGACTCGGGAGACAACGGCAAAGTCACCTGCTCCATCCCCCCGGACCTGCCCTTTCAGCTCGTCTCCACCTTTAAGAATTATCACTCGCTGGTGCTGGCGGAGGCCGTGGATCGGGAGCGAGTGTCTGAATATAAGATCCTGGTGACAGCCAGAGACGAAGGGGCCCCGTCTCTCTCGGCCAGCAGCAGCATTTTGGTGCCGATCGCGGATGTGAACGATAACGCCCCTGCTTTCCCTCAGCCCGTGTACACGGTGTTTGTGAAGGAAAACAACCGTCCCGGGGCCCATCTCTTGAGCGTGTCGGCGTCGGACCCGGACGTGCGGGAAAACGCCTTTGTGAGCTACTCGGTGGTGGAGCGCAGTGTGGGAGAGCAGCAGCCCGTGTCCAGCTACATCTCGGTGCACTCGGAGAGCGGGCACATCTATGGGCTGCAGCCCTTTGACTACGAGGAGCTGCAAGTGCTGCAGTTCCAGGTGAGCGCGAGGGACGCCGGGTTCCCCTCCTTGTGCGGGAACGTGACCGTGCAGCTCTTCGTCCTGGATGAAAATGACAACGCGCCGGCAGTGTCCCCGCCTGGCTCCGGCCGCGGCTCGCCAGGGCCCGAGCTGGTTCCGCTGTCGGCCGGCGCAGGGCACGTGGTGGGCAAGGTCCGAGCGGTGGATGCGGATTCCGGCTACAACGCGTGGCTTCGCTACGAAGTGCAGGAGGCCGGGGCTGCGGGGCCTTTCCGGGTGGGTGTGTACAGCGGGGAGATCAGCACCACGCGGGCCTTGGAGGAGGCGGACGGCCCCAGCCAGAGACTCGTGATCCTGGTGAAGGACCATGGGGAGCCGGCGCTGTCAGCGACAGCCACGGTCAGCCTGTCCCTGGTGGAGAGTCCGCAGGCTGTGAAATGGGACTCGAGGCAAAGGGTCGGGAGCGAAAGGCCCTTGGTCGACATGAACGTGTCTTTAACGATCGCCATTTGCTCGTTGTCCGGGCTGTTTGTGTTGGTGATTGTCGTGTACGTTGGCCTGAGATGCCACTCGGGTCCGGAAGTGATGTGCGGTCCTGGGAAAGCCACCGTGGTGTGCTCGAGCGAAGTGGGGAGTTGGTCCTATTCGCAGCGCCAGAGCCGGAACCTGTGTGTCGGGGAAGTCACCGCCAAGAATGACCTGATGGTTTTCAGCCCCAACTTCCCTCCCTCATCGAAGATTGAGGGGAACTGGAAACAGGAGCAGCTAATCTGTGATGGAAAGGTTAGTCATGTAACTGATTTAACGAGAAATATCCCTCTGAGATATGAGTTTTTTTACAGGATTTTTATATTGGCTACAGTATTAGGATTTCATAATGTGGTCTAGGTGAAAACCATAATTTACGTAGAAATCGTGTTTATCAAAATTTCCAAAACGGGCTATTGGAAAGCAGGTGAGCGGTAATTTGTTATGGGAACGTCTTTTTTATTAATAGTATGAGTCGATGTAAACTCCTTTGCAGTTGCAAATTTAAGGGTAAAGTTGTTTATTTAAAAAAATCATACTACTATTTTAAGATAAATGGTGAACGTCTTTTCCATTGGCGGAAATAGATATGATCATATTAGCATACGTTGCCTGACACATTGTATTTAGGTTTCTCTCTTTCACTATTTTCTATTTCTTCAGACTTATATATTTTAAAGAAATCTACACTAAATTTTCTCTATGAATACTATGACTTTCAGCCTTTGTGTGGTTGATAAGAAAGTCTGGTTGCTTAAGTGTGTTTCTTTTCTCAATGATCGTCTACCTCGCAGAAAGGTATTTTACAAATGTAGGTCTGCATGGTGTTCGTGAAAACATCATCAGAGGTGCAGTCCTTTGTGTGAATTTGATTTTATTCTTAAGAACTCTAAAATTACTTGCATTTGAGCAAAATCTCATCCAGAAATTTTTCGTTGTTGATAATCCCAATGTCATTCAGGCTTCAGAAAAGAATCATTAGTTCACAAAAAATCCCTTTGGAAAGGTGACTCTTTACTTGGTATTTTTTTAAATCTGAATTTGAGACATTGTCTGTAACATGTCCTCATCTGTTGGACATTTTAAATATCCCTAGTTCAGTAATAAAAAATTAAGTTGAGATTTTAAAAGTTCTTATTTAGTTCATATAGTACCGATAGGAAGTGAAGAGAAACAGTCAAATGAAAAATGAGGCATCACATGAAGGCAGATAACTAAAAAGTGACAAATTTTGTAAGTGTTAGTATGAAAATGCTAGAAGTATAAATAGTAAGATGGGTGAATCTGATACCTTGAACTTGGTATTAAATGAGAATATTAGTATAATAGAAATCACAGAAATTAGGTGGATTGATGACAATCATTGTAAACAGTAGTACTTGGATGCAAAATATATTGTAATGACAGAGTAGGTCATGCTTGTGGGGGAGGGGCAGTATATGTGAAAGAAAGCACAGAGTCAAATATAGTGAGTACCTTAAACAAATCAAACTGGTCAATAGAATCTCTATGGCTAGAAATCCCATGCTTAAATGAGAAGAATATAGTAGTAGGAATATACTATCAACCACCTGACCAGGAGGGTAACAATGACTGTGAAATGCTCAGGGAGATTAGAGAGGCTATAAAAATAGAAAACTCAGTAATAAGGGGGTATTTCAACTATCTCCATATTGACTGGGTACGTGTCACCGCAAGCCAGGATGGGGAGATAAAGTTTCTAGATACCATTAATAAGTGCTTCTTTAAGCTGCTAGTCCTGGAACCCACAAGGGGAGAGAGAATTCTTGACAGTCCTAAGTGAAGCACAGGAGATGGTCCCACAGGTGCATATAGCTGAACCACTGGATAATAGCCACCATAATAAAATTAATTTTAACATCCTTGTGTAAGGGGGGAAATACCAAAGAAACCCACCACATTAGCATTTAACTTCAAAATGGGGAACTAAACAAAAATAAGGAGGCTAGTTAAACAGAAATTAAAAGGAACAGCCACAAGAGTGAAATACCCAAAACCTCCATGGAAACTTTTAAAAAACACCATAGTAGAGGCTCAGATTAAATGAATACTCCAGATTAAAAACCATAGTAGGAGGACCAAAAAATGCCACTATGGCTAAACAACAGAGTAAAAGAGTCCATTTAGAGACAAAAAGCTATCCTGTAAAAATTGGAAGTTAAATCCTACTACAGAAAATGGAAAAGAGCATACACTCTGCAAGTCAAGTGTTAAAGCATAATCAGGTGGGGGAAAAATAATTTGAAAAACAACTAGGAAAAGACATAAAAACCAAAAGCAAAATTATTTCTAAATACATCAGAAGTAGGAAGCTACCAAGCAACCAGTGGGGTCACTGGGCAATCGAGGTGCTAAAGGAGCACTCAACAAAGAGGAGGCCATTGCAGAGAAGCTAAATGAATTATTTGTATTGGTTTTCTCTGCAGAGAGTGTGAGGGAGATTCCCACACTGAGCCACTCTCTTTACATGACATATCTGAGGAACTGTCCCAGATTGAGGTGTCTATAGAGGAGGTTTTGGAACAAATTGATACATTAAACAGTAATAAGTCATCAGGGCCAGATGGTTCATTATTCGCCCAAAAGTTCTGAAGAAACTCAGATATGAAATTGCAGAACTTCTAAGTATGGTAAGTAACCTATCACTTAAATAAGCTTCTGTGCCAGATGATTGGAGGATAGCTAAGGTGACACCAATTATTTAGAAAGGTTCCAGAGGTGATCCTGGAAATTACAGGCTGGTAAGCCTGGCTTCAGTCCAGGAAAATTGGTTGAAATTGTCATAAAGATCAGTATTATCAGGTAGATTAACATTATATATTGGGGAAGAGTCAACATGGCTTTTGTAAAGGGAAATCATACCTCACCCTACTAAAATTCTTTGAGGTGGTTAGTAGATACAGTGTACTTGGACTTAGAGAAAGCCTTTGACAATGGGGGAGGGATAGCACAGTGGTTTGAGCATTGGCCTGCTAAACCCAGGGTTGTGAGTTCACTTCTTGAGGGGGCCATTTAGGGATGGGGCAAAAATTGGGAATTGGCCCTATTTTGAGCAGGGGGTTGGACTAGATGACCTCTGAGGACACTTCCAACCCTGATATTCTATGATTCTAAGGTCCCTCACCAAAGGCTCTTAAGCAAAATAAGCAGTCATAGGATAAGAGGAAAGGTCCTCTCATGGATCAGTTGCTGGTTAAAAGAAGGGAAATAAGGGGTAGGAATAAATAGTCAGTTTCCAGAATGGAGAGAGATGTTTCCCAGGGATCCATAGCAGTTATTTTCAACATATTCATAAATTATCTGGAAAAAAGGGGTAAACAGTGAGGTGGCAAAGTTTGCGGAAATACAAAATTACTCAAGATAGTGAAGTCCAGAGCAGATTGTGAAGAGTTAAAAGGGATCTCCCAAAACTGGTTGACTGGGCAACAAAACCGCAGATGAAATTCAATGCTGATAAATGCAAAGTAAATTATCGTAAATTGTTTTATGAGGATTAGGCATTAAACAATCTCATACTTTCTAAATAATCCTATATTCTTCCCTTTTACTGACTGATTTCACATATTACTTAATTATTCCAAATGATTAATCTGATTCACATAATTTAAGAGAGGTAATAACCTTATGTGGGGAGCAGAGCACATACGAGCACCACTGATCTTCATTTTCAGTATTTGGTTTTGTTTTTGAGCATTCCTTTTGCCCCCCTCTTCTGGAATTTCTTTGAACGTATCTGAGATGTGTCATGTCTGGAAAAACAAGAACCCGTGGCTAGGCAGACGTTTTTTCTGTCGTAGAAACATAGACCGGGAAGTTGGTGGCCTCTCTCCCTCCATGTGCGGTGTGAGCAGCCGAGCAATAGCGTATGAAGAGCTCTGCTCTGCTTCTAAATCTGTCTCTTATTCACAGTTAGCTAATTTGCAGACATCTAGTTAAATAAAGGGCAAAGTCGAAGCTACAGATGAGAGATGTGTGGAGAAATTTCGAAGCACTGCGAAGAAGAAAGCTTCCAGAATCTACAGCCTCACACTGTGCTTATACTGTTACTGGCCCGGTAAGGGACAAGATGTTGCTTTCCAAAATGAATGACATGAAGAAGACGCCTAGGAGACACCTGAGACTTGTTGATGTTCTAGGTGGGTTAGAGTCTACTAATCTTTCTTCCCTTTTTAGAAAATTAAACTGAATTATTACAGTTGTCTGACACTAGGGACTCCCATGTCCCATCCAGTGCTCTTGGCTAGACTTTCTAAAGGTGGGGAAGAAACCCTCATCTAAATCTGTGCGATGTGCCGTACTAATAACTTGAAGCTCTGTGTCGTTTCATATCGTAGTTCTTGAAGATGCTAGTGCACCGGTTGCTTTTCAAGATAACTGAAGTAGGTGTTTACCTACATGACATGACAATTTTAGGTAAATTATGCAAAGACATTATTTAATCGAAGATTTGGGGAAAGGGGACACAGAGATGTTATTTATACCCCGATCAGGTATATGCCGAAGTGGAAGACAATTTCTAAATATTCAAGCTGTGGAAGAGACAGACGATATTGCTACAGCTGAAGAGGTGGAGAAGGGCCTCGGCACCGATTAATTTTCACCTGAAGAGTCAGATATGAAGTCGGAGTCTATGCAAATTAATATTTTAAATACAAGATGTAAAAATAATTGATTGTACACGAGAACCTATACTGTGTTTTGCATTATTGTGCTTTATTTGTATGAATGCATCTACATCGAATGGTCTCAGAGGGGAGATCTTTATCTTCCATGGATCTCTTCAGAGATGTACTGGTATAAATTGACAGAAGAATTTCGCTCCAGCTTGGGAAATTACATTCTGACCATCCATTCTCCATGGCATTTATAATTAGATATAGTGTTGTGCACTTGTTTTTCTAAAAGCGGTTAGAGCAGGGGGTTGGACTAATGCAAACTGGTTGACGTGAAAAATTTACATATTGCTACATCCCAGCCCAGCAGGTGAGTGACCCTCATGTAGAATCTGAAAGACATTTTGGATCCTAGAGAATGAGTGTTGCTAAAAGAATGAAAATTCTTCTTCTTCTTCTTCTTCTTCTTCTTCTTCTTCTTCTTCTTCTTCTTCTTCTTCTCCTCCTCCTCCTCCTCCTCCCCCTCATCAGCAGTAGCAGCAGGAGGAACAAAAATTATAATTAATAAACTATTTAGATGCAGGAAAATATTTTTAAAATATCAAGCATGTATTGGAAAAACCTAAGAAGTTCTGAAAAACGAATTTCCTCAAATGTTGTGCCCCGGGTATTGACGCCAGTCAGACATAAGACTTCTCATGATTCCCTCATGTATTTAAATAATAAAAATACAGGATAAATGGTGACTACTGGAGAAGAATTAGGAGATACTAATTCAATTACAACCCATTATTTTTTGCCTCTTCTGCTTACTCTTAAACGCCGCACTTAAAATTATTATTCTTTATAGACGAGAAATTAGGGGGGCATTTTCCTGTGTTAAGACAAGTGGCAAGAAACTAGAGTTCAGCAGTGTGTGATCATAGAGATCGATGGATACTAGGAAATTGCACAGCGTTCAATAGTTAAATAGTTAAGGGCACTTCATCGTATCAGCTTCTAAACGCGTCCCTGCAATCTCTTATTCACATTACTTACTGATCCCAGTAACGCCACTGAAGCTCAGTAGGTACGAATCAGCTCCTAAGAATTAAAGTTACAGGACTGCGTACTTAGAGTCTAAGATCTTCAAGACAGGGAATAGGAGTTCGGTATCTATATGGTAGAATGTAAATGTGCAGCGTATATACATGATAAGAAAGATAAAATAATAACAGAAAGACAGACAGGTTATAAGCTGGTAAACCAAGTGATGTATTTAATAAACCCTCCAGTTGTTTTGAAGATCGCAGTTTTTAAGGGGCTCATGTTCTGAAATCATCACAACAGAAAATAAACACTGGACATGATAAAGTCTCCTACAATGAAAAGGGGTGTTATCGGCACACAGGCGCTGCTAATGTTACCACTGAATATATAATGAAAACAATGTACTTCAGTATACCCTAAGTTATCACAAATTAAAATACACATATTTCTATAAAATTTAAAAATGAGTTGTAAAAAAATTCTGAAAAAGGGACAAGAATAAGAAGACAAAACACAAGCATATGACATAAAAATAATCATAACAATTATAGGTTTCAGAGTAACAGCCGTGTTAGTCTGTCTTTGCAAAAAGAAAAGGAGTACTTGTGGCACCTTAGAGACTAACCAATTTATTTGAGCATGAGCTTTCGTGAGCTACAGCTCACTTCATCGGATGCATACCGTGGAAACTGCAGTAGACATTATATACACAGCAGGACAGTGGGGTGGGAGGGGGTATTGTTTCATGGTCTCTGTGTGTATATAATGTCTACTGCAGTTTCCACGGTATGCATCCGATGAAGTGAGCTGTAGCTCACGAAAGCTCATGCTCAAATAAATTGGTTAGTCTCTAAGGTGCCACAAGTACTCCTTTTCTTCATAACAATTATGTTGCATTTCTACATTTAGTCACATGGTGTCGCTGTAGACCAAAAAAAGGACTTCGGTGAGAGAGGAAAACGGAAGCCCCTCCCAGGTTTGTACTATGAATCACGTCAATATCAAAGGGCGGATCAAACCGGGCACAGAGTCACTAGACTGAGCAATTTGCAAAGATAAGGCTAAAATATATTTTAATTTTTTTTGTATTAGCCACGTCTTAACTGGCGAATTTTGAAAGGAGAGTTTCCGCGATGGCTCTTCTCCGGCGAGAGACCCTAGTAACCGGGCAGCTGCTGCTGCTGGTTCTGCTACACACGGCCTGGGAGGTGGGCAGCGGCCAGGTCCGTTATTCCCTGCCGGAGGAATCGAAGCACGGCACCTTTGTGGGCCGCCTGGCCCAGGACCTGGGGCTGGAGGTGTAGGAGCTGGTGTCTCGGATGTCCCAGATGGTGTCCAAAGGCAGGGGAGACTATTTTGAGGTAAATTTGCAGAGCGGCGTTTTGTTTGTTAAGTCGCCAGTAGACAGGGAAGAGGTGTGCGGCCAGAGCCCCCTATGCGTTATTGACCTGGAGGTGATAGTGGACAAACCCCTGAGGATATTTCACGTGGAAGTGGAGATACAGGATATAAATGACAATGCTCCTGTGTTCCCCGTAAATGAATTAAATCTGTTTATATCAGAATCAACACTGCCGGGCTCGCGTTTCCCACTAGAGGGCGCGTTTGACGCAGATATTGGTACAAACTCTCTGCTAACCTATAAACTCAGCTCGAATGAATTTTTCACTCTAGATGTACAAAAGAAAAACGACAAAAGCATATCTGCTCAGCTCGTGTTAAGGAAGGCTCTCAATAGAGAGGAAATCCCTCTTCATAAGTTATTACTCACTGCTACTGATAGGGGCAAACCGAGCTGACGGGCACAGTTCAGCTGGTGATCACTGTGCTGGATGTCAATGATAACGCGCCTGTCTTTGGTCAATCCGTGTATGAGGTCAGTGTAACGGAAAATACAACTATTGGGGAGTTAGTCGTCAAACTCAACGCCACCGATTTGGATGAGGGGATTAATAAAGATATCGCGTATTCTTTTAATATTCTTACTGGTCCCGAAGTAAAAGACATGTTCAGTATAGATTCTCATACCGGAGAAATTAGAATCAAAGGAGAATTGGATTTTGAAGGTACTAAATTGTATGTAATTCAAGTCCAAGCTACAGATGAAGGTCACGCTCCAATGGTCGGACACTGCAAAATTTTGGTGGAAGTTTTAGATGTGAACCACAACGTCCCTGAGCTGGCCGTGACTTCCCTTTCCCTGCCGGTGCTGGAGGACGCTCCCCCGGGGACAGTGGTGGCTCTTATTAGCGTCTCCGACCGGGACTCGGGAGACAACGGCAAAGTCACCTGCTCCATCCCCCCGGACCTGCCCTTTCAGCTCGTCTCCACCTTTAAGAATTATCACTCGCTGGTGCTGGCGGAGGCCGTGGATCGGGAGCGAGTGTCTGAATATAAGATCCTGGTGACAGCCAGAGAGGAAGGGGCCCCGTCTCTCTCGGCCAGCAGCAGCATTTTGGTGCCGATCGCGGATGTGAACGATAACGCCCCTGCTTTCCCTCAGCCCGTGTACACGGTGTTTGTGAAGGAAAACAACCGTCCCGGGGCCCATCTCTTGAGCGTGTCGGCGTCGGACCCGGACGTGCGGGAAAACGCCTTTGTGAGCTACTCGGTGGTGGAGCGCAGTGTGGGAGAGCAGCAGCCCGTGTCCAGCTACATCTCGGTGCACTCGGAGAGCGGGCACATCTATGGGCTGCAGCCCTTTGACTACGAGGAGCCCTGGCTGGGATGATTTAACTGGGAATTGGTCCTGCTTCGAGCAGGGGGTTGGACTAGATGACCTTCTGGGGTCCCTTCCAACCCTTATATTCTATGATTCTATGATAAGTGCTGCAGTTCCAGGTGAGCGCGAGGGACGCCGGGTTCCCCTCCTTGTGCTGGAACGTGACCGTGCAGCTCTTCGTCCTGGATGAAAATGACAACGCGCCGGCAGTGTCCCCGCCTGGCTCCGGCCGCGGCTCGCCAGGGCCCGAGCTGGTTCCGCTGTCGGCCGGCGCAGGGCACGTGGTGGGCAAGGTCCGAGCGGTGGATGCGGATTCCGGCTACAACGCGTGGCTTCGCTACGAAGTGCAGGAGGCCGGGGCTGCGGGGCCTTTCCGGGTGGGTGTGTACAGCGGGGAGATCAGCACCACGCGGGCCTTGGAGGAGGCGGACGGCCCCAGCCAGAGACTCGTGATCCTGGTGAAGGACCATGGGGAGCCGGCGCTGTCAGCGACAGCCACGGTCAGCCTGTCCCTGGTGGAGAGTCCGCAGGCTGTGAAATGGGACTCGAGGCAAAGGGTCGGGAGCGAAGGGCCCTTGGTTGACCTGAACGTGTCTTGAATGATCGCCATTTGCTCGTTGTCCGGGCTGTTTGTGTTGGTGATTGTCGTGTACGTTGGCCTGAGATGCCACCCGGGTCCGGAAGTGATGTGCGGTCCTGGGAAAGCCACCGTGGTGTGCTCGAGCGAGGTGGGGAGTTGGTCCTATTCGCAGCGCCAGAGCCGGAACCTGTGTGTCGGGGAAGTCACCGCCAAGAATGACCTGATGGTTTTTAGCCCCAACGTCCCTCATTCCTCGAGGAATGTGGGCATAGAGAAACCTCAACGGGAACTGACACTGAAGTCTTCTGCGGTGGTGAGTCAGATGACTGAATCCTTATTTGGAAATATTTGTATGTTGTAGGTCTTTATGTGTTCTTAGGCGTGTTGTCTGTGAAACGAATGAAAAAGCAACTTTAAAAAAAAATTGGATGTTCCTTATAGGAACTGCGATAGTAGTAGCTGGAGAAAGGGTTTTTTGAGAGATAATTAACTGTTTTCAATAACTTCTATAATTCTACTTATGTGTAGGTACTTTGGTAGTCATAGACAGGAATGTGGGCTTTAATAATGAGAATTAATTGTAAGAAAAGTATTTGGATGTTTATGCCACTATTTCTGTTTATGTCATATTTATACTAAAGAAAATCTTGTCGTGAATGTTAATTAGAGAATAACAAAAGTCCTTGCAGTTTCACATTAGGGTGAGTTTGTTTATATTGTTTGGTATTTATATTATTGCTATTATTAGTGCCTATATTTTACATAGTGGAAATTTTTTTATTAACAAGTATCAATAAACGTACAAGTTTTGTCCTACGATTTTACAACACATGAAGCAGTGCTCTGTCTTTTTGATGCATTGCTATGTCTCAGCGTTAGCAATATTAAGAAACAGATTAATTTTGCCACTGTCTTCTGACCCCCAAACTCTGGTATTTTATTCATATGGTAGAAATGATTGTAACTGAAGGAAAATTACTCACATTCTTCATTTTTGTCAAATATTTTACCTGTATTTTTAAAATAAGTTTATTACATTATTTCCTGAAACCCTTCAAAGTAAGGATTTAAATGACCCCAATAGTAAAGTTTAATCACCCTGTAAATAATCAATTTTACTGCAGTGTGGATGGATTACTTCACTATTGTGTCATTTATGCCCTTGTATAAATTGTAACACACACATACACACACGATTGCAGAGATACACAGTTCACCCCGCCCCCTCTCTCAACTAACTAAATTAGCGCTTTTCAAACTATTTAGGCTGCCTTCCCTTTTCCAAATAATGCAGTCTACTGCATACCCTCGTAGGAGATAGGCAGACACAACACGTTTGGGTCAGGTGCTCCCAGATTTCTCCCTTCCATTTAGCAACAGCTTCTAGAAGTTTTGAAACTGTGGGGCATGCTCCCCAGAGGGGGGCACAGATGAATGTTTGGAGGGGCAAGTGGCGACACCAGGCAGCTCGTACCAGCCCCTCCTGGCAGGGCTTGGGGAGGGAATGCCACCGTCACCCCGACTCACCTCAGGGGGCCACACAGCCTGTCTGAGTGTGTGTGTGTGGGGGGGTGCAACCAAAAACTGTAAGTCAAAGGTAGGGGGCTCAGCTGCTGCCCGCTGAGGAGAGTCAGGGTGTGGAGATGGCTTGCAGCTGGCCTGAGCCACCTGGCATAGCTGCTTGCCCCTCGGATGTTCCTACACCTTAAGGGAGTGCACCCCACATTTTGAAAACCTCTGTACTAAATAAAATGCATTGTCGTCCATTACAGGATTTTTCTTGCATACCTCCTGACGAGAGCTTGTGTACTCCTAGGGGTATCGGTACTCCAGTTTGAAAACCACTGCTGTAAACTGTGGTATACTGCCACCTATCACTATAGTACTGAAGAACTTCCACATACAATCGGTAATAATAGTGAAATCCCTAGTGGACTTCATGAAGGCTCTAGCACTTCTTCCGTTTCAGGGTCATAATTCTGATTAGGGTAGCCCCTTTTTCTTGTCAATTTTATTATTCTCCTCCTTTTTTGTTTAGTTGTCCAAAGTGAGGAAGAGTCAGTACTGTGAGGTCATTCTTATGGTGGAAAAGCTTTTTTAAAAAGGAAGGTCTTACAGTGTTTTCTAAAGATGGTCAGATTCTGGATTTGCCTCGTCCCGTCTGGAAATTTGTTCTCTAGTCCGATTCCCCTCAGCTGAGAATGCTTTGAGCCCAGCTGTGAGGTGCTTTGTCTTTCTTGGGCTTTGTCATCTGAATTGTCCCAGGGAAACACAGCTGTCATAGTGTTTCACAGATTGAAATTCAGTCTTTGATATAGCCAGGGCTTGATCCATTAATTGCTTTGAAACTTACGTTCAAAGCCTTAAACTAGCATGGGAAACTGACTGGCATCCAGTGGAGGGATTTGAGCATGACTTGATGTGCTCCGGATGGTCTGAGCTATGGAGAACGGTGGCAGCTGCATTCTAACGGTGGCAGCTGGAGCCAGTTCATTGTCTTCATTTTCAGATTCAGTGAATTACAGTAATCCAATTTAGATATGCATATACATGGGTCACCGTGGCTAGGTCCTTGCTTAGGAGGAAGGAAGTTTCCTAGCAAGCCGGAAGTGAAGTAAAGTATTTCTAGATACACTTCCTGATCATCCATGCTCTGCTAAGAGCGGAATAGGACCTCCTACTTATCATGGACAGCTCCACAGTTTCCCACATCACATGGGCTTGGTATCATCTCTGTATCTTTTGCCTCCTTTTCCCTTTCATCCTTGTTGCTTTTAATTCCAGTTGCTTTCTGTGTAATGTCACCTCATTTAATACTTTCCTCCCTACCTCGCTGTTAACACCATCCTTTGCTCAGCACCTCTCTTTGCTATTTTATTTTTACTTCTGCACTTGCTGAACTGCACCCCCATTATTATTATTATTATTATTATTATTATTATTAATAATAATATTACTCTGTATTACATCCTTGGGATTATTTTAAACAAAAAGCCTTCACACTATACAAGATCTTTAAAAATAAGAAGGGGAAAGCAACTGTCGAAATTTTATCCCCATGAGTCACCAATAAATCTTGACCATGAACTGCCTCTGTAGGTTTGAGTAGTCAGGAGTATTGTTAAACCCTTTGATACTTTCCTGATAACAGGAGAGGCACATAGGTCCTGCCTCCCCTGTTTACATGTTAGAAGGAGTCTGAGCAGAGATATTGAGACTCAAAGAATGATGAAATGCAGAAGATTGCATGAAGCATTACATAAATCTGGAAATTGAGGGATAGCAGTTTTAAATGTTGGTCACTGGCTGGGCTCTCATCAATACAGCTGCTCAAAGAATTTCTTGAGAGGGACCTAACAAAGAAATTGCAACTCTCCATCCCATCAAAAATACTTTTGAACTTCAGAAAGGGATGATCAGTGCATCTCTCCTCCCACTGAAGTGAAGTGAAATAATCTAAGTAAAATTCTCCCTACCACCCCCAAACTCCTCTCCCCTGCTTGCTTGGTTACATGCAAGTTCTGTTATCAGGAAACTGTCAAGTAAAATAGAAAGGCCTTTTCAAACTTCTAAAATATACCTTACAACAAAAAAGTCAACAAAGATTCTTAAAGTTGTGTGGAGTTGTCTTCCTTGTGCCCTGATTCCTAATTATTGCCTGAAGTTAACTGCATTGGTTTCACTAGTTGCTGCAAAATGGGAAGTTGGTGTGGAATTGCAAGTGAAATAAGACTGTAATGTTGGCATTTATGTATATTTGATTACAGTAGTCTCAAAGTACTGGGTCAGACTAATTGTCATTCTAGCCCAGTATTCTGTCTTCTGACAGTGGCCAGTGTCAGATGATTCAGAGGGAATGAATAGAACTGGGCAATTTTGAGTGATCCATCCCCTGTCATGCCATGCCCAGCTTCTGGCAGTTGGAGGTTTAGGTACACTCAGAACATGAGGTTTCATCCCTGACCATCTTGGATAATAGTTATTGATGACCCTATCTTCCATGAATTTAAATAATTCTTTTTTGAACCAGTTATACTTTTGACCTTCACAATTGTGATGCTAGTATACCAGGTGACAGCTTATGCCAAGGTCCCAAAGTCTCCACTGGACATTGACAAATACATAGCTGGAATCAGTCTGGCTCACCTCTGTTAGTATTGTAAAAATAGGAGTTATGGGACATAAGAGAGAGACACTAATTGGTGTGATGTGCAACAGAAAGAGTTATGTCTTTCCCAACAGGAAAGGTCCATTGACACTAGATGGTCTATTGTGGGATGTTAAAGAGGACAAAGACTTTGTTGTTCTGCTTCCCCCTCCCACCATGAAGCTGAATCATGAAGGTGGAGTCCTCCCATCAGCTGAATTTGCAGCTCAGAATGCATGACAGGAGGGGGTAAAACCCCAAACAAAAAGAACTAGGTATCAGTATTCTGCTTGGACTCTGGGA